ATACATGGAAAATCATGATTTTTTACTGGCATATAATTTTGTATAACATTCTGAAACATAAAATCGATTCTCGCAAAAATCGAGTAAAGTTTCAAGATCAAGTTTATTTAAAAAAAAAATTTAAGGAAAATTTTTTTAGAAATTTTATTTATTTAAGAGAAGTAAGAAGAAATAGAGAATATAAATGTATACGTCATATACTGTCTCCAGGCGTTCATTTATTCATCTTATTAATTCTTGAATGTGGTTCGCATGTGAAGTCGCATCGACAAGTCAAAAACGTATAAAATTTGAGAACTGCAATACTTGCATCTTGAGGCACGAAAACAATGTCTCTTTCTATAATGTTATTATATTGTATCTGACGAGTCGTGTGCAGGCAGGCTTACCGGAACGATTTCTCATAGTATTTCATATTCTCAATTTTTAGTAAGAATAAATGAGAGATAAATGATGAGAATTTTCATCAATATATGTGTTATTGCGAATCTATTTGACGGAAAATATACAAAATTGTGTGTTATTTGTGAAAACCGAATAGAACAATTAAAATTTCTGTAATTTTTATTAACTAGAAATCAGATATCAACAAATCGGATATGAACAAATTAGCAATCAATAAAATAAAGAGTTCTTTATTTTATAATTGTTGTGTAAAACATTGAGGCATTATGAACCTAGAAGTTTCGTAACTCGCGACCTCGTAACTCTCTTAAAGATGCGCGCAAACATATAATTTATTTATTGCTATATATATGTGTACATTTCTGTATTTAATATGAAATTAAAAGAAAAAAAAGAGTATTCTAGGAGATATTATCTAATATCTAATTAATTGCAGCGGTGATATCTGTTAACATGTAAGCATATTACTGTTCGATCTTACACATAAAAATAAATTTAAATATAGTTAAATTTGTTTTTTTTTTTTTTATTTTTTCGAAGCTTGTATTTTTGCATAGACAGAATCCTCTATTTTTTTCTATTTTTTTCTTACATTTTTTTCTATTACGTCACTCGTTTGACTTATAATTACATTAGAAAAAGAAAAAAATAATAAACAAAAAATAATTTAACATTTTTATTATTTTTTCTTACATTTTTAATACAAAGATTTGTATTAATTTGAAAACTCTTTAAATTGATGGTGATAGATGATTTATTTGATGAATGCGAATAAATAAAAATGCTTCTAGTTTAATAATGTACAAGTCTCAAATATAGAAATAATAATGTTTGCTTTAATGTATATGTATATTTATCAAAAGGAGGGGACCACTTGGAGTGAATACTATTCATTCGCTATTAATATCATTGATTTTATTTGAATTCTAAATTCATATTCAATACCGAAGAAGATTGCATTCTACAATAGAGAATAATGTCATTTGAATATAACGAAGAAGCTCTTTCAACGTCTGTGGATCAACTTTTCCAACAGTTCAAGTACATAGGAAAGCAATTATTATGTTATCGTCGATAACTGCGAGATAACGATGCAATTAATGTCTTTAAAAAAACTCTGAAGTCAGCCGTTAATCCATCAAGAATAATGTGGTATAAAATAGCCTTTTCTACTTTGTGAGCACATCGTACATAAATTTGCAATAACATACGATTCTGATATTGTGAGGAAAATTTTGCGGATTGATGACAACAAACGTTGCCGATGAAACTTTATTTATTTGGTAACTCTTTCCTATTTGCCATCGAAATCTGAAGCTAATGGAAGATTGAAGACTTGGTATCATTATTCACAATATGTTCAGGAACATGATTAAGCTTCTTGAACGACATCAGAGAAGATCTTTGCCCTATAGGAAAATTAAAAAGAAGATGTAAAAGAAGAATTTCAAACTTTCACTTCAACGAAACTCTTGGATGCTTATTACTGATTAATTTATTTGTCAGTAAATTCTCAATGTCAAACACATTGGACATGGAGAAGTACATGGTTTAATGTACGCAACGCCAATCAATAAAATGGACAAAATTGCTGCTTGTAAACTGATTGTTTATTGCATTATTGTCTACTAGTCAAATACAATCAAACAATCGAAATGCAGCTCAAAAATCTTGAGTTGAATAACAAGCTCGAGATACATTGCAAAAATTGCGAAGCGAAGAACACGAGAAATGCTTTATATTTGTTATTCTTTTTCGAGTTTTTAAGAAAAAGATTCGATCGTAACATTTTTGACAATTACAAATTTGGTAATGTATTTAACGCAAGGTGCTCACGAAAAATAAATATCTTTGATTGGAACTCTTTTTAAGCCACCTCAGTATCTGATAGTTGTCTGATAACAATGGTATAATTTTCAGACAACGACTAATTTACTTGTCAGTAAATTCTCAATGTCAAACACATTGGACATGGAGAAGTACATAGTTTAATATACGCAGCGCCAATCAATAAAGTGGACAAAGTTGCTGCTTGCACACTGATTGTTTATTGCATCAGGATCTCTTCAGGATCTTCAGGTACCATTTCTCATCACTTCTCATCGCTAAGCGTATAAGTGAAGCTTTAGAAGAGATGATCTTGAAATGATTTTTATCATTTTCTGCTACATTTAACATTTTACAATGTCAATGAGTAAAATGGACAAAAACTGCTGTTTGTAAACTGATTGTTCATCACATTGCCCTCAGGATCTTCAGTTACCATCTCCCATCATCGTTAAGCATGTAAGTGAATCTTTGGAAGAGATGATTTTGAGATGATTTTTATCATTCCGCTTTCTGTTACATTTAACATTTTACAACGCCAATTAGTAAAGTGTTGCACAAAGCTGCTGCCTGCAAATGGAATTAAACTTCTGGAAGAACAAAATGAAACTCCTGGATGCTAATTACTGACTAATTTACTTGTCAGTAAATTCTCAATGTCAAACACATTGGACATAGAGAAGTACATGGTTTAATGTATAAAATGCCAATCAATAAAGTGGACAAAGCTACTACTTGCAAACTGATTGTTTATCACTCTGAGGATCTTCAGGTACTACTTCCCATCATCGTTAAGCATCTAAATGAATCTTTGGAAGAAGTGATATTGAGATGATTTTTATCTTTCCGCTCTCTGTTATATTTAACATTTTACATAGCTCTGTTATTAAGTTATTAAGATGTTGAGTCATCATCCATTAAAAATGACTTAGCGTAAGAGCTCTCAAGTTCTGCAATCGATAAACGGAACGCAGTCTCCACTCGAATGATACATAACAAAATAAACTGCAGAACACTATGAATATCTTATATTTTTCAACTTTTCCCATGCTTTTAAGGAAGAAAAGATTTGGAGAAAATTTCTATCATATTATTTGAATCTTGGCGTTACAAGATCTGGCGTTATTCTCAGTTACTATTATCGAAGAGAACATTTTTCGGATTTTCCATTCGGGCCAACCATTCTCTTCAAGATTATCTACACTTGAATAAGAACATTATTTGCCATAAAGACGATTCAGAAAATACATGCCACCATCAAGATGTCTTTAAGAAGAAGCAAATAGAAATTCACATTTCTGCGCTCGCTCACGGAGATTAAACTAAAATCTGATCAGTTTTTAGTGAATAAATTTGCGATTTTAAGGACCACTTTCACACTCATCACTCAGCAAATCTAATCATAACAAAGTGGAGCCATTGTCTGGATAGGTTTACCCTTCTTTTGATTATTAGAATATTCATAATCGAGCAATCCAAAGTTATGTTATTGTAGTAATGCTATTGGAAATTATAACATTGGTAATTATAATATTGATATTATGTTATTATTAGTTAGTGTATGCTGGATATTTCAATATTGACTTTTATCCGGAAAACGTAGATTTCTAATGCAAGTCGGGCAACTAGAATTCGTTAAACCTCTTATCTATTTTAATAGTTTTACGTAAATGTATGATAATTAAAATGCACAAGTAATTAAACTGATTCAATCAATAAGAATTAATATAATATAAAAGAGAAGCGAATTTTATTTGTCCGATTAAAATTATAAAAACAAAAAGGTTTTTGGAAATATTTACAATAATGTATCAATTAAAAAAAAAGAAAAAGATAAAAAAATAAAACAAAAAAATACAAAAATACAAAACAAAAAAATACAAAAAAATAACAAAAAAATAACAAAAAAAATACAAAAAATAACAAAAAAAAAAAATACAAAAATAAAAAGAAAATAAATAATTAAAATTGTTGGTATGTATTCTGAGTTGCCTGTTCTGTGCGGTAGTTATCTGTTCTTTAATATCTGCATTCTTGATAATCACGAATCGCATGTCAAGCAAATACGCGCGCTTTCTTTATTTAATTCTGCGTTACCGCGCGAAAAGCGATGCACATGGTTTCTCATTACCATGGTATACCGTATGTATAACATACTTAATAAGACGCATTTTTTACAAACGCTGCGAAATAAGTTCATATGAATGTACGTAATACATTCGCAATGGAAATAGAAATGTATCTCTTGGGTTTACGTGATCAAGTTTTTTGTAGCATATTTTTTCGTTCGTATAATTATGTAATTGTACAATTCAGTTATTTTGTGTCTGCAATTACCAATGAGTCGTGTGTCTTAATTCATTTTTGTAAAAATAATATTAACATTTGCACTATGCCATTTTTCTCTCGTTGTTCTAGTTCACTTGAGGTTCTTCTGTGATAATATGATAAAATAATTAACACTTGACTCATTAACGATTGGAACCGCGATATCCTTGCAAAATCTACACATTATGAAATGCTTTTACAATTGTATTGTAAAATGTCTTTACAAATCTGTAGAAAATTGCAAGGGATATCTATAAAATTCATGTAATCGAATATTTGCTTTATGCATTATTTCATTTTTTTCTCTTTTTTTCTTACTTCTTTAAATAGGTGAAATTTTGCTTAAAAATATAATTATCAATGTTCTACAAACATTTTAATACATTTTGCGATATATGGATTAGGATTATCTTAATGACATTTTGTGTTACTTGGATTTTTCTATTCGTAATTATTTTTATTCGTAATTATTTTTCCTTATTAAAAAGGAAATTAAAATGTATACTTTAAATCTTAAATCTTTTTTATTTCTCCATGATAAGATAATGTGCAAAGAATGTATGCTTTTTTAAAATGGAAAAAATTTACCGATAATAAACATTTGTTTAGACAGATGCAAAGTTCAAACAAATAATCCTAAAAAAGTATACCATACATATTCTTGAAGAACATGATTTATAAATTACTCAATCCAGGAGGTAGGCAGTCGCTTATAAAAAAACGGTTATACGGTTTTACAGTTATACGGTTTTTTTTTAAATGGCATAACTTTATTAAAAAAGGTTGTAGAAAAATTTTTAAAATATGGATTTGTTAGGAAATAAATGAGCTTAAAAATGCGTACATTTTTGTATCCGGCAGTCGACTTTGAGCAATGCAATGGTTTAAAAAAATAATTATTATTTATTTACAAACAAGAATCTTGTGAGCAATCAAATGTTTTTAAATTTATTTGTTTGCATATGCATTCGATTTAGTTCTGCATTGTTGATCAGACTTGAGAAGATGCAGGCTTGGAGAAGTGCAAGCGCTGACTAACAGGTGGCATCAGGATTAAATTTAGTGTGATGGTTTACGTGTACGATGATTAATAGTTCGCAAATCGCATTCAAAGAAGAATATTCCCTTAATAATAATTAATAGCAATTAATTCTTTTACTTTGGTTTTTATTGCCTTTTTAAATATCGCTTAAAAATTATTAAATTTTGATAAAAATTGATTATTTATGTATTCTGATGTAACAAACCTTTTTATAACATTCTTCAAATTTGTTCATTTTTTCCTGATCTTTCCAAACGACCTGATCACATTTACACCATGATACGGGGTGAATATTTACCCCGTATCATGGTGGTATAAAAAGGTTTGTAACAAATGACATTTTTTTAATGTGGTTTATTTTGATCCTCATTTTTTTATGGTGAATTTATTTTTTTTTTAACAATATATATATATGTATAATATAACAAATTCTGAAATAACAATGTTCTAGTCAAAGCTTTATAAAATTATTTCTAGGTTTGCGCATTTAAACTGAAATTTGTTAATTATTTGATGGCTTGCTTGTCAAATATCGCTCGAAATAGAAGTGTAAGAGGCGTAAAAAATTTAAACCTCTTTTGGGCGTAACATAGCGTAACGAATCGTTTCATTAGAGAAGTTCTTGTTCGGATTCAAGACTTTGCGACTTGTCATTCCCGTTGGCGCCGGTAATTGAATGCCTCTTTCATCGTGCGCTTAAAGTGCCGTATCACCAATGAACATCGATCCTATCAATATCATGCGACAACATATATTTTCAAGATCGTTAATTTAACAGAAGAAAGAATCATCTGAATTTTGAAAGAGAGATATACGTATAGATGGCTAGAATCATCGTGTTGTGCAAAATAAAAGTTCCAGTAATCAAATTTTGAAAAAGTTATCGGTGTCCCACAAATGTCTTTAATACTTGCGAAATAATACTTTGCGAAAATTCCAATAGTTATTTGTCAAAAACTGCAACGTATTTTTTTTCGTTTAAGGCATCTTATACAATAATGAAATAAGTTTCTCCTAATGTAGATCGCGAGAACAGCCATTAAATATACATATATAATTGAAAATTGGATTATATTGTCCATGTTCCGACGATGAGATCAATTATATAAATTATTAATAAAAAATATAAACAGTTTTCATATTTATGTTGAAGTGTACGTCACAGCAGCATTAATTATTATTACTTTTTTTTGTACCATTGCTTTACATTGTACTTATTCACTTTTAGCCATACGCCTTTTACACTTCTTGTTATTTTACATTATTTTACATTATAAATGCGTATATTTGATTGAAACAGTCGCTCATTTATGTCCGTGTATACATTATTACATTATTGCACTCTTTACTCTCTCATGTTGCATTTGTCATGTAGTTGCCACAAGCAGTGCTAACAAGCGCGTTCTACCAGTGATCCGCCATTTTTATCGCGATTATTCATTCAAAAGAGAAAAAGGAGAGCGCAATGCCTCTGTTCGGTTAGACCGTTGTACATAACGTTGCCCCGTTATCCTCCATTCAGACCGCTTTCCTCCGCGCCACGCGAATGCCGAGGGAGTTCGATTATCCCCGTGTCGACGTCGGCGACGACGACGACGACGACGAGAGAGAAACGTTATCACGCATGCCCGTATTTCCCAGTGCTGTCCTGTCCGCTCCGCGGAACCGCCTGACGGATATTTTGACAGTACGTCGCCCTGCATCCTCCGCGTCGAGATGCATCTCGACTTTTGTCGCCCACGGCGCCGGCCACCCTCGTTCTTGCTTATTCGCGCGCGGTTTCATGCTACCGTTGCCTTCGATGTACCACGAGAAAGTCGCGTCGGATGCGCCGCTTAAACGCGCGTTTAACAGCGCCGCTTGCGGAACCGGGTCAGTCGATAGTGTCCGAGCGAGTGTTGTGCGCGTTCAGAGTGTTCGTTTACTGAGGGTAGAATTGAGAGGGTGAAACGCGAGTAGGAATGAGATCGTTTCAGGACACAAAAGTCGGATATATTGACGTCTCTCAAATCCGAAACAGCGTCTTAATCTGACGGAGAAAAATCGTGTTGTTCGACTCGAGAGCTCTTTGCTCTATCGTGAACGGAGAGATGTGATTACGAGAGGTGAATTCGTGAAGTCGCTGTGAGAGGGACTCGCATGATTCGCGTAGACGGTACCGTTTTTCGGTTACGCTTTCGGGGTGGCCGAGAGAAATGGCAGCGCGGCGGGTCTCCGCATCTTTGCGACGTCTCGGAGCAAGATGTTGACTTGTTTTTGAGCCAAGTGGGCGGCTGTAGTCGTGAGAAGAGTGAAGTGTTTGAATGACTTGCGCGCGGCTCGGCAAGAAGGTGGTTGTGTTAACTCGAGTATGCGGATTTCACGGACACACGAATACCTCCCCGGGTGAGGTGGGGCCGGCTCTCTCGGCGGCGTCGCCGGATTACCGCCGGTGCAGGCGTCCCGAAGTGCCGTGTAAATCTTCCTGAAAATTACAAAGTAATCTCGCGGCACGTTCACGCGACGGTCTCAGAATCAGGTTTCGCGCGTGTACATGTGTGCGTATGCGATGTGTACCGCGCGTAGAGTGTGTCTGTTCGACAGAATAACGCCGTTTCAGCCACTTTGCGTCGCATACCTCAAGAACGTTGGCGATCATCGCGATCTTTCGGGGATACATTCAGCGCGGAATTGTCGTTAAATCGTTCATGTAATTCGTAACGGTTGTGATTGTGCGCGTTTTGTGATTCCTCGTGAGAAGGGCGGGGGCTTTCCCTGGGGCGACCCTGGGTACGAACCTGCTCCTCCTCATGGACGTGGAACCGTCCAACTGTCAAAAGCGTCTCTCGAACGTGAAATCCCGTTCGGGACCTTGACGGACTTTTCGTCCGCGAGCGGATTCCCGCGCTCTCGGTTGGTTTCGAGCTATCCTGGTGCATGCATTCGAAGGTGGGCGGATGCCGCTGTCCACGTCAAGGACACGTATCCTCAGGCGCGCGATCCGAGAACAATGAGGATCTCGGAGCGGCCGTTTTGTTGCGATGTCGGGATACCGCGCCTGGAATGCCAAGTCCGTACCGCCACGTTCTGCCCTTCGTGCCCTCATTCGCGTTGTTGTTATCGTCGTCGTTATCGTGGTTTGTTCTGCTGAGGCGCATGAACGAAACCTAGTTGTGCCGCGAATGCACATGTCGTGGGAATAAATTAACTGGGAGAGTGTCGAGCGAAACTCGCTTTCGTTCGTCTACGACGGTTAGAAAGGACGAAGAAATAGAATCGATAGAGAAGGCGGTGAAGAGAAACAATAAGGAGAGACTAACGAGCTGAGCAGGATGAGTCATTTCGATTGGAAACTGCTGCGCCGGAAAAAGGTACAGCTTGTTGAGTTGTGTGTAAAAATTATCTTTTCTTCGACTGGCGTAGTTTTCTATAACAATTTAAAATCACAATTTTATATTTGAGCAATAATTCACCCATATTCATGAGCTAATACAGAGCCAGAACTGGGACTTATTGACTGCTCGAATTTGTTGTTTACGTTATAAGCACATTAAAACACAAACGTTTCGGTCTTTGGGTTGGCCATTATATTTGAGATTGTTATAAAAAATTTTTTTTTTTGTTGATTTTTACATTAAATGCAATCATTCATAATCAACTCATCTTAATCGAATCATGCTTGAGAAAATGTCACGCTTAGCTAAATTTTTGGATAACAAATTTTTTTAAATTATAATTTGTAAAGGTTCCGATTATAAATATAAAAAAAAATTTTTTTAAAGATTTTTTTGTGATTGTTTCTGTGTAACACATCAGCACAAATATCTCTTTTTTTGCTTAAATGTATATTGATAATTTAGCAATTACTGAATGAAATGTACAATTTTTTCCGTTGTGCAATTACGTTGAAAAACAATTACGTCGTGAAATTACATAATTTTTGTTAAACTACATAATTTTTTATATTTAATATTTTATATTTACGGAATTAATTTTGTAATTTTTGCACCTTATTTGTGTGAATTTATTGAAATTTTTCTACAGTGTATTCAAATTTTGAAACAAATGTGTATAAGTTGTGAATACAAACTGCCACTCGCATAATGCATGATACATAATGCGAAAAATCTTTATTGTCATGCCACAATAATTTACTTTTCAATCCTTTGTAAGAGCAAGACAATGATTGTCACCACATAATATCTGTCAGTTGGTTTTCGCCCTAAACCATATATTTTAAAAGGTATATATTTTAAAAATTATAATAATATTAGGTTCTGGCATTCTTGTCAAAATCAAAATTCAATTCAATCAAGGTGAAAGAGAAAAACTTAGGTCCATCTTAAAGAAACTCTTATGTTTTCATTCATGTGTCTGTCTATTAGTTTGTCTGTCATTTTGTACGATAGAAATTGTGGCCAGACCGTTAAAAGTAAAAAAGTATGGTCTCACTACCTAAAACCTTATATTTTAGCTATTTAAGACTTATTTTTCTTTTATTTCAAATCCCTAAAATTGCAGATGAATGGATGAAAGCTGCATAGGAGTATGAAAATCAATGGAACTTTTTACATTCCAGAAGGATAATTTGAGGAGGATAGTATGATATTATGATTCTAGCAAGTTGGAGAAACAACCAATGACCCCTCTAATCCCTCTCAGAAGGATTTCACGCTGTGCACCTCTAACGCATGAGTAGTCAAGCCATGTACAGACGATAGAGCATTTCTTGTAACGTAATAGCGCTTTAAGTCGAGCACTACCGAGCTGCAACATGCTCAGTAGTGTGTATAAATATGAAAATGATCAGGATTTTCCAGACAGAATTTAGTATCGTCTCTATTATCAGTTTTAACTAATAATTTTGATGTAAAATGTTTAGAAGGTACCTTGCTTTATTTGATTCGTTTGATTTTCGGAATATTTGATACATTGATTGTACATTGCTTAATTCATTCGTGTCAAAGAAATAATGTGTCAAAGAAATAAGAAATAATGACGTTTTTTCCACGTCAATTTATAACGTCATTAAGATAAGACAAAAGTACGTCAGTTTTACGATATTTGGACGTCATTTTAAGACGTCTAGTTCGTCCAATGAAAAATTGCAATGGCTCAAAAGCATATCACGATGTGATATAGTCCTTATTATTTCTCATTCTTACTTCCTCATTTTGGAATAAATTTTTCAAAATATCCCATTTTGTCATGCATTCCTCGACGCTCCTATTAAATTCAATGGACGTATATATTTTATTTTACATTCTAATGTGTGGAAATCCCAAACTATATATTGATTGGAAACCCTTTTTAATGAGATAAAATAAGAATTTTCGAAATGTTGATAGTTAAGTAATTTTTAACTGAAAATTTTTACTTAATATCAATCTAAAACAAAAAACGTTATATTTGCGTATAAAATTGTTATGCTTAAAATTGCAAAAGTAATGTGATATTAAAGAAAACAATTTTTCTATTACTTCTATTTTTTATTATTATGATTTAACATTACGAAATAAGTAATGTAATAAAAAATTATTTAACTTAAATAAAAAAAGGTTAGAATAAAATATAACTTATTTCAAACTCTACACAAACGCAATGCAAAAAGTTTCAGATTATATCAAAAGATACTTCCGCGTTTTTATAGAAATTTTTCATGTTAGAAGACTTTTGTGTTACCGAAATTCATTCTAAGAAATCTCGTAAAAAATACAGATAAGTGTAAGAACGAATAAAATGTTAACCAAAGAAGACTTTTCGCGACTTTTTAAGAGATATTAAGGGATTTACTGTGCGTTTTTTGTAAATGTCCAGAGCTTTATTTTCGTCGTTTTTATTCCGATTGGTTCGGAACACACGGCTATTGTCTCTCGAATATTTCTGCTGATCTCTCATTTTTACAATAGAGACATGAAAAGTGTTTGCGAGAGCTTCCATTTGTTATTGAGATAAACGAAATGAATCGATGCGTAGGAAATTACACTTAGACAGTTGTACATCGTCATTTCCGCGGTCGAAATTATTCACACCACAAATTTGATACGGTGTGTGCTACATGCGTCGTCATCTTCGCTTCGTTTAGATTGGATTATTAGGGTTGTCAATTCGTATTGATCACCGCAGAGAGACGTAACGCCAAAAAATGCCATTAAATCCCTGGCTTTTTCGTTTATCTGTCTGGTGCTCAGTATCTGTTCGCGGGTGTTTCTTCTCGGTACAAAGGCCTGCTTCCACGTCGGAAATCTCCGGGGGAAGATGAATGCTTTGAGTCATTTGTTAATGATGTTGACAAGAGTATTATTTTGTTGGCGTGTGATATCAGAGCTTCTGTTCGGTAGTTTTTGCGTTCTGTTGGATTACCTTATAAACGGGATGAAGGTCGATTGACATCATTTCTTTGGCCATTTTTTTGAGGTCTAGTGAGTTTGCTTTCATTTGTAGTTGCACCGTTTAAAAATTATGATTGTTTAAACGGTTGTGTAAGTTTCAAATAAGCATTCTTTGAACAATACAAAATGAAGGTGCACCTTCTCATGAGAATATGCAGAATCTGTAGAAACACTTGGTTTAAGTAACGTTTCATCAATTAATGAAATTCAATGCTTTGAATCATTTATTAATGATGTTCAGCATTATTTTGCTGGCATGTAATATCAGAAATTTTTCATTTAGCATTACATTGTTCTTCTGTTACGTTATAGCCTTTTTCAATAAATTTGTTTGCAATTCTTTTCCATATATTTTTTTGTAGACACTTTTTATTATTTAACAACGCCATATTATTTCTAACTTCTATTAAGAGTTTTGTACTTTAAGTGTTTCACTGATATCTGCAGTTTTCTGTAAAAAAACCCTTTAGCCTCATGGCTTTTAGTATCTTGGTTATGATTCCGTCTGCACCGACGGCTTTTCTATCGTTCAATTTTCTTATGGTTTTTTTGATCTTTGATATGAGGATGTCCGATTCCAGATCTTCTCGCTAAATCGTATTATCCCGCCTGTGTATATCATAACATAATATAATTTATAAATAAAAATATTAAGATTTATATTTTTAATTATAATTAATATATTATAATAAATATAATATATATAACATAATATAATATTTTAATATATGTATTTATATAATATATTTATATAATATATTTATATAATATATTTATATTTATATAATTGAATTAATTTTAACTTTGATTCACTTACTCTTCATGAGTGTTTTGGATGTTGCGATTGATGGTGCCCGCCGCGACGATGACGGTATGGTTAGAGCATTAAAGGACGTGACGGAGGATGGTGGAAGTGGTGTTTTCTCAAGTTTCGTCTTCGTTGTTTCAGATTTTTCAATCGTGTGGCGAATGATACTTTGTTCTCATCGTCGTTGAATGTGCTGCTCGTCGTCGATTCTATATCTAACCGTTTTTTACGTTTTTCAATTATTTTTATCTTCGGTTTCTTGCTGGTTCTCGATATTGCGTTTCGTTTTCCTTTTTTTTATTCTAAAAATTTATTAAAGGATCTATGATCTTACTGATCCATACATTTGTTCATTTTTGTAATTTTCGTTGTCATGTATTCCTTGATTATATATAATATAATATAATATAATATAATATAATATAATATAATATAATATAATATAATATAATATAATATAATATAATATAATATAATATAATGTAATGTAGGCATTTAAGAGGCCATGCTTGATTAGATATTTGGTAGACGGTCGGAAGAATCGTAAGACTAGTGGAGTTCTCGTGGAGAAATAAGCTAAGTGCTAGGCTGTGTTATGAGGTATTCCGATTCAAAACCCGGTCGGCTCCTCAATTTTTCGACGCCTACAATAATATAATTATAATATAACATAAAATCTATGCATTTCATATGACATGCAGCGTCAGAGAGTGATCTCTCACATTTCATCATACAAAGATTATATAATCGATCTATATTTTTAGATCTCTTTAAACTTCTAGCTATTTGCTATTTATAGATTTCCGCTATTTGTTAATCATCGATCCACTATGCGGCGTCGCCGTATTGTCTACGCGTGCTGCGCTATCGGCGCATTTTATCGCCATCGATACCGACTCTTGCCCTCGGCGGTGAGACTTTAACCCGAATGAGTTATGCGCAATCCCAAGTGACATTCATACGTGCATTAATGGGTTATATACACCCGCGGCACGGAACGGGCCTGGCGATTTGCATTGAATGCATCAAACGTATGATGATTTGCTCACCAACTTTAATTTACCCGTGTAATTGACTTCGCGACGAAGTCACGTAACGATGAATAGCGAAGTACTGCCGGTTCGATTAGCATAACCGATTTTCCTGCGAAAACCATAATTGCGACATTTAC